TCTCAAGCCAGCGAATCTGGTCATCTTCTCATCAGACTGATAATACTCAGCCACAGGAAAGGTGTGAGGAAACGGGAGCCGTTGTCGCTGCCCAAGGGCCCGTCAGCATCTGTACCCTCTTGGCAGAGCAGTCACAGCTTTAACCCCAAATACGCCTGTCTTTGAACCCAGCCATTAGCCATGCCACAGCCCCACGTCCAGCCCAAAGACTGGCTCCCGCCCCCGCAAAGCCACTGCCGCCCCCGCAAAGCCACTGCCGCCTGGCGTGTAACGAAGAAAGCGGAAACGGAACTAAATATCCGGCTGTATCCGGGCATCCCCCGAAGCAGTTCAAAGGGATGAAGAAGCTCTGAATGTACTGACTTGGAAATATCTCCAGAAAATGTTACATGAAGAACGCACGTTGCACAACAATGCAGATGATACGACTCCATTTAAGAAAAACATTTAAAACTCCGTGTGCTTTTATTACATACTTCATAGACACAATCCAAGGCAACACACCCGTTGGCCATGGTGCTTACTCTGTAGAAAGGGGGTAGGATTCGGATAAGGGAGGTGAGGGAAACTCTCTGACTTTACTCAATCTGTCCTAGTATCATCTGAATGTTTAATAATGAGATTATATTTATTCCCAAGTGATTGGTTTAATTCTTAAGCACATCTGAAGGTGGGGGTGGCAAGAGTTCTTCCCCACCCTTCTCTCCCTGGCTGTGCTGCCAGAGTCTGCTGTGGCCAGTCCTGGCATGAGCTGCCCTTGGGTTCTGCTGTCCAGGGGCTCCTAACTGCCCCTCACCCACTGTCCAGGTGGCCTAATTTTTTAATGCCCTCCAAGCAAGCCATTCATGGATGCACAGAATGCAGGTCCCAGGGGCCTTAAAGGTCACAGAACCTAGGCCTTCCCCACTCCTAATGACGTCTAGGAGACTCTCCCAAGGCACCACCCTGCCCTCTGTCCATACACCTCCAGGGACGGGCAGTCTATGGCCTTACCAGACAGTTCCTTCCATGTGCAGACACTGTTACTGGTTAGATCACAATCCCGCACTCTGAGCCAAACCCCATCTGCCTGTAGCCCCCGTCATCAGCCCTACACCCAAGTGAGGTGGGAACCAGCAAACTCTGGAGTGAAACTGCTGTGTTCAAATCCAGGTTCTGTAACCAACTGGCTCTGTGATTTGGGGGAAATTTATTAATACTCTGTTCTTCATGTACCTCACCTACAGGATGAAATTAATCGTACATGCTCCATAGATGTACGGGGAGGAGAAAATGAGTTAGCTTATCAAAAGTGCTTATGGCATTGCCTCACACACAACGATCACTCAGTAACAAATATTTGAAAAATAAGTAAGAGATCAGAGTTTTAGTCCTGGCAGTGTCCCCATGGCCTCTTCTCTCATCTGAAATGATTGAGGCCTTCTAGTCTCAGAGTCGCTGAAGAGGGACAGCCTGAGATAAAGCAAGTGTGACGCTTCTTAAGATGTGTGCACATTTTCTATTTTACTCTTTAATATAAAAATAATAGTTTTGGTCAAAGATTGACACTCTGGGAAGGCTGGCCATGATTATCTAGTAGAATCCTGTATTTTCTTGAATATACCCAGAAACCTCTGCATGTATCCCAGGGATATTGGACCCTAGTTTGAGAATGTGGGCCTAGAGGATCCTCTGAAGTCCTTCCAGTGTCAGGTCAAGGTCAAGCCCTGGCTCTGGCGTTAAACAGAGGGAGCACAGTCCAGCTTCCATCTACACATGAGTTCAGTTGACTCATCTCTAAGACAGAAGGGCCAGTCCCTGCCTGCCCTGCCTCCCCAGTGGTTAGGGAGGTTGAAAGGGGGCAGTTTGCACTGGGTGCTTGGTGCTTTGGACCGAGCGGCATGGAGTGTCAGCTCTGCGGAAGCAGCCCTTGAAGATGCTGGAAGCCCCTCCACTCGAGGGAGATCAGTGCTTCCTGAGACCAGTGCATCCTAAGTCCTAATAGAGCTTTCCCGGAAAGTGACCTCAAGGAGAGGCCAGGCTTCCTGCTAAGTGGGGTGGGCGGAGGACCTTCCAGTTCCTTCTCGGGCCCTTATATGGTCCCTGTACTACCGGCCAGGCCAAGCGGACCAGAGCCCAGGGCTGTGCTGAGTCCTCTGAGGACAGGCCTGAGCTCTTCTCAGCCCTTTCAGGAGCCGTGACAGATGGGTGATGGAACTTCGCCAATGTCACTCTACCTGCCCAGCTTGGCGTTGCCGGCCCCGTGTGAACTCAGACAGGCTCTCGTGAAGTCAGAGTACCTGGAGGAGTCCTCCAGCAAGAGTCTCAACTGTGGTACATGCTTGTCCCTTTGGATGGTGGGCTAATGTGTCCTCTCAACCCTCCTGTGTTGTGCATCAACCGTGTTCCTATTTCCCCCATTCAGTTCAATTCCTTGACCTTGACCTGGAGATGCTGGGTATTATGTGCTATCCAAGGGCTCACAGTCTAGGGGAGCACCATTGAAAAGAATCTTCTGTGATGATGGAAATGTTCTGTATCTGCACTGACCTAATTGCCAGTGCAACTAAGGAACTGAATTTTAAATTTTATTTAATTATTCACATTTCAAAATTCGATCAAAAAGGACAGAAGATCTGAATAGACATTTTTCCAAAGAAAACATACAGATGGCCAACAGGTACATGAAAAGATGCTCGACACCACTGATCATCAGGGAAATGCAAATCAAAACCACAATAAGCTATCACCTCACACCTGTTAGAATACCTAAAATAAAAAGGACAAGAAATAACAAGTGTCGGTAAGGATATGGAGAAAAGGAAACCCTTGTGCTCTACTGGTGGGAATGTGAATCAGTGCAGCCACTGTGGAAAACAGTATGGAGGTTCCTCAAAATGTTAATTAAACCAATCTGTCCATCTGCTATGAGATCCAGCAATCCCACTCCTGGGTGTTTATCTGAATAAAACAGAAACACTAATTCAGAAAGATATATGCACCCTCATGTCCACTGCAGCATTATCTACAGTAGCCCAGATATGGAAACAACTTAAGTGCCCACCAATGAGTGAATGGAAGATGTGGTGTATATATATGCAATGGAATATTACTCGGCCCTAAAAAAAGAAGGAAATCTTGCCATGTGCAAGGCATGGATGAAGCTTGAGGGCATCATGCTGAGTGAAGTAAGTCAGACTGAGAAGGACAGATACCTAGGATCTCACTTATATGTGGAATCTAAGCAAAAACAAAACCAGAAAACAACCAAGGTCATAGATACAGAGAACAAATGGGTGTTGCCAGAGGTGAGGGGTGCGGTGGGGGGTGAGATGGGTGAAGGGGGTCTCATTGTCTCAGCTAGGACCCCCCAGGACAGTATTAGTGAAAGTGAACATTCTTGTCTTGTTCCTGCCCTGAGGGGGAAAGTCTTTAAACCTTGATGTGATGTTTAGTTTGCTCTCCGTGTCTTTTCAGATCTCTTTAAGATTATGTTTATTTTGAGGGGTGCTTGGGTGGTTCAGTCGGTTAAGCATCTGACTCTTGATGTTGAACCAGGTCATGATCTGACCTCAGTCAGATCGTGGGATCGAGCTCTACACTGACAGTGCAGAGCCTGCTTGGGATTTGCTCTCTCTGCCCCTCCCCCACTTGGACACAAGCGCGCTCTCTCTCTCTCTCTCTCTCTCTCTCTCTCTCTCTCTCCCCCCCACTCCCCACCCCCTCTCTCCCCACCCCCTCTCTTTCTCTCAGAAATAAATAAAAACTTTTTAAAAGATTGTGTTTATTTTGAATGTTTTTTAATGTTTATTTTTGAGACACAGAGAGAGTGTGCACGAGCAGGGAAGGCGCAGAGAGAGAGGGACACAGAGACTTTGAAGCAGGCTCCTCACTGTCAGTGCAAGGGCTCGAACCCACAAATTGTGAGATCGTGACCTGAGCTGAAGTCAGATGCTCAACCGACTGAGCCATTCAGGTGCCCCAAGATTGTGTTTATTTTGTATGTGTTATTATACATAGTAACAGAAAACCCAAACAATAAGATACAAAGAAGAAAATAAAATCTCTCCCAAATCCCACCACCACCAGTATACTGGCTGGCTCTTTCTAGGCATATATATGTGTATGGAAAATCCATGTAACTTTACTTAAATATGACCTGTTTTGCAACTGGGCTTTTTTTCTCCATATTGTTTCATGGTCATCTTCCCAGGCCTGTGACCAAAGATTTGCATTATCATCTGATATCTGTCATGTTCTCTTGTAAAACTCAATTATCATTTATTTGAACAACTCTCTCTCCATGAATGTCTAAGTTGCTTCCCTTTTCCCCCACTACTATAAGCAAGGCTGAACATCCTCATTATATCCTTCCCAAGATTGTATATTGTAAGGTTTTTCCTTTTCTTTTGTTTTCTTTCAATCTTTGTCACTAGAGATCTTGGGGTAGGGAACTAACATGATCAGAAGGAGGCTTCAGAAAAATGAACTCTGGGCATTCCCAACTTACTGTGTGACCTTAGGCAAATCCTTTCCCCTCTCTGGGTCTCTCCATTTCCTTCATTTGGAAATTGAAAGGATTCGTCTAAGTAACTGGTTACCAAACCTGGCTATATATTGACATCACCTGGGAGTTTTAAAAGCCACAGACACCTGAGTCTCATTCCTGGAGCGTTGGATTTAATTAATATGGTGTATAGCCAGGGCAGTGGAATTTATAATCTCCTTGAGACTCGTTGAAGATCCTTCCTGCTCGAGTTCTGTAGAAAGGATGCTGTGGGGCAACGAAAAGATCTGTTCTTGGCATCCAGCAGGCCTGGGTTTGAGTCCCAGTTCATTCACTCCTGGTGTGTGACCCTTCACCTTCTCCAAACTTCCAATTCCCTGTTCTTGGGGGGGGGGGGGGGGGGGGAGTTGGGGAGTGGTTAAAATCCCTGCCCACCACGCAGGGTTTCTGCTAGTAGAAAACATTCCTGCACAAATGGGATGAATAGTGACTCCTGTTCTTTTCTTGACCAAAGAGCCAGCCTCTGGGCAACAAAGTGGAAATGGAGATAGTGAACATGTTGGAAAAAAACGCAACGCTTCTCAAATTCGGCTACCACTTTACCCAGCAGGGGCCCCGGCTGCGGGCGTCCAACGCAATGATGAACAACAACGACCTTGGTAAGTGGAAATATGCTACCCAAAAACCTGCCCGCGGCTTTCCCACCTGTCCTGGAGGTTGTGGGGGTGGTGCGCGGATATGGCAAGGAATGTTCCACTGATACCTTCTTCAAGGGAGCCCTCTTCTTGAGTCTCACTCCTGACTACCACCTTGGTTACATTTCCTAGTTTTCTGTATTGGCGCCCGGACTGCTGCCTCCCCTAGACTGTGGGTGCCTCATCTGCAGGAGCTGAGGCTGAGCACTCCTTCCCTCCCCGGGGGGCTCAGCACAGCGCAGGGCTGGAGCCCAAGCGCACCTTGGGCGCCTTGTTTGGCTGAGTGAGAGGACATGTGGCGGGCCACAGGCTCACCGTGAGTCTTTTCCTCTTTGAATACCCTCCTCTGAGCTCAGAGTCCTCTCAGGACCATCGGGTCTGGTTCTAGTCCCTGCCCCCAAAGCCACCAACTAGCACCACTACCCAAACCCCATGCCTGGGAAACCTCATAGCACTTTTAAGGTAAAAGTTGAAATGTAAGTTAAACAGGTTACATTCATTTCTTCTCAGTTAAAGGCATAGTTATTATTTTTTTTTCCAAAAAGGAAACAAAAGAAAATGTCACATTTTTTTAAAATTTTTTTTTCAACGTTTATTTATTTTTGGGACAGAGAGAGACAGAGCATGAACGGGGGAGGGGCAGAGAGAGAGGGAGACACAGAATCGGAAACAGGCTCCAGGCTCCGAGCCATCAGCCCAGAGCCTGACGCGGGGCTCGAACTCACGGACCGCGAGATCGTGACCTGGCTGAAGTCGGACGCTTAAGCGACTGCGCCACCCAGGCGCCCCAGAAAATGTCACATTTTTATGAGCATCTGCCCAATAGGTATACAAGTCAGTTAATGAAAAGTGAGATCAGTCATTGACTGACTTACAGGCGTCTGTTGTTCTCAACCTCTGTGCGTAGTTATTTATGATGGGTATTCCTGCTGGCTGCTAAAAGGACTTGATACTGTGTCCAAAATGGACTATGTCTGCTAAGGCTGTAGGAAAATAAGAGGGAAAAACAGCAAGAAAAGGAGGAGGCCTAATATGTTAACATAATTGATCATTACATTTAGCTGTGAGTCTTCTAGAACCAAGGCAAGAAGACAAACCAAGTTACATTATTCTTATTACCAAAGAGAAGGAAGTATAACAAGTTCAGAAAGAAAGAAAAAGGATGAGAGCTTCTTTCTGGGATTGGATTATGAAATAACTATATGTTCTAAAGGAAAAGGTCTTCGGTGAGTTTTTGATCAGATTCAAGCCTGTTCTACACACGGGGGTTTTGGTTTTTGCTTCGAGCACTCAGCAAAATGCAGATAGCCTAATACTAAAGCACATCTCAAATCCGAGGCACGTCATTTCTAGTGATGAATCTGAGGCTAGGTTAACACCCGGAAAAATAGAGGGGGGTGTGTAGGTGTGTGTGCACAGACCCGATGCACAGAGAACCACGTACACTTTAGATTGAGTTACTCAATTCAACAAACGTTGGTCAAAGTCCTGTAGGGCGCTGGGTGTTGAAGTTACAGGTTCCTGCTCTAGAAGGACATGTTCCCTGCCATCCTTCTGACCACATCGTTCTTATGCCTCAGTTGATAGAGCACTACCACAGTACCTATAAGAAGTTATTCATTCATTGCTCGCCACATAGATGCCACTTTTTTCTAGAGCTGCGGGTCTAGAAAAGTCCATACAACAAAGAGACAAAAATGCACCTAGTATCCTGGTTTATCTGAAGTGCCTTATTTAAAATAAACACAAACACAAATAATTATCAGCCATTATTATGGTATAACAGAGGTGATAGCTACCCTGAACTGTTGAGGAAAGCCAGCAATCTAGATGCTTGTGGCCAGCTGTGATCTGGCTTCAAAACCAGCACTAAAGGCCTTGAGTTCTGTTCCAACATGCCGTAGCCTGACATTTTCCCCTCCCAGTTTAGATTAAGCTGCTTTTGTGCCCAGGGCTGCCTATCCCAGGGCTAACCCAGCTTTTGTCTTCTAGTGGCAAAATGGTCTGGAGGCCTTTTCTAGGGACGGAAGTTCCAGATGACCGGAGGTCAGGGGTGCTGCGGTGGGGGAGGGGCACCAGGATCAGCTGTGGGTTGGATAACCTGGCCCTTGGGGACGCGCCCAGTCCTGAGAGTCTGTGACTCCAAATCCCAGGCCCGACTCCTATCTCCAGCAGCTTCTGAGGTTCTGGCCAGGCCCTAGGGTGCTGGAGCTGGAAGGCCTTCACCCCCCAGTTCCCTTATAGGAAAACAGAAGCCTGGGAGGGACTGTCCTTCTAGGCAGTGGCTCAGCCAAGTCACACCAGAGATTACAGCAGGCACTTTTGGAGCAACTTTTGTGTCCCAGGACTGTGCCAGGGGACATAAAGGGAGCAGAAAGTCTAGTTCCTTGACTCCAGAGCCTTTAAAACAACCTTACGGGAGAGAAAAGACTCAAGGGCGTGCCTAAAAATTCAAGAATGCCTACACCCTGTACCCAGACAACGTGAGGAAGTGACTTGCGAAGACAGAGTCCAGTTAAGCAAAACATCCCCATTGGAAGTGGGCCTTTAGCCAGCCTTGCAAGGAAGTGCTAGATGGTGGGGGAGGTCAGGAGGCATTCTTGGTGGGGGGACCTAGTATTTTAGATAGGAGAGACAAAGATCCAAAAGGTTTGGAGGGACTGTTAGAGGGAGTTAGACCTAGAAGGAAAAGCAGGAACTCACAGAGAAGGGAAGGAAGGGCATTCCAAGCAGAAGGAACAGAATGGGCAAAGGTAGGACCAGGAGTTTGGTGATGAAAGCCAGTGGGAAGTGAGACTGTGGCAGTTTCCTGGACAGAACTGACAGGTGATAAAAATAATGGGCCTCCGGGTCACCCCAAGGAACTGTGCAGCTCTTCCTTCGGGGTTTCCCGCCAAAGGAATTAGAGCAGAGTCATTTAAGTGATTCCATGCAACATCGAGTGTTGTTTGGTGAAGTAGTATTTCTAGCTTTGAAGGCCAGTTTGTGCCCATCTGCTAATTTTTATAACAGAAACGCATCTGCTTCTGATAGCGTACCAGTCTCCTCCTGCAAAAGAGAAGTCCTTTCTTTGCAGCATGTTCTCATCCCGCTGTCAGTGCTCCGATGAAGCAAGCTTCCATGCTTTCCAGCTGAATGTTTCTTTATCCCCGAGAGCCTCCTGCAGGCCCTGCCCAGCCACTGTGGTGGTCAGCAGTGTTTGCCGTCAAGGAGAGCGGACCGGGCCCAGCCTCTCCAGTTTTCTGACTCAAGCCTGCCTCTGCTGGCTCCTGGTCCCCTACTTGGTAGTCTCCAGTGGGTTTTGCCTGCCTGTAGGGTGGGTGGGCTCTTCCTTGGGGGATATTGATCCCCGAGGCCAGAGGTCAGCCAGTGCCTCTGTAGCTTTCTGGGACCCATTCTGACTGGCGTGTCTTGGGTCCTTCCCATCCTGTGCACCGAGCTGCTAACAGAGTGTCCTCTGGAGAGAGAGTAGGGCACCAGGCATACGGCGGTGTCAGGGAGGAGCCGCGGATCCCCATCTATGTTTTCCCACAGCGATACCTCAGATGACTCCTCCCTCTACACTATTTATAGCTCAGAGGCTAAGCATGGCTCTCAGGTCCTGTAAATCTGCCCCCAAAGCTCTCTCCACTTAATGAAATCTGAATTGCCAACTCCAAGTGAAGACCGCTGTACGTGTGGAGGTGGGGAGGGGAGGAGGATTAACATGTTTAAAAGCAGCAAACACTCCTTCATGGGAAAGTCTCTCTTCTGTATTCTCAAGGAAGACTTTCCTAACAAGTACCCCAAATCAATTCCATCATCTTCCCCCAAAACCATCTCAGGAAAAGGTGTTAACCTTCCTCACAGCCATTCAAGCCAGAAATCTGGGCCTCTTCCTATATGCTGCCCCCTCCCCAGCCGGTCAGTCACCTCCTGGCCACCTCCCTTGCCTGCCTCATGTCAAGCCCTCAGCACATTCGCCTCACATCCTGCGACTTCTGTGGGCTCTCAAGCTTCTCTAGGGCGAGGATCTCTCACGGGGTGCCCATCCCAAGGTTTGTTCTGTCGCTCTGCTTAGTACACTTGCTGGGCTCCCACTGCTGTCAGGAGCGAGTCCTGGGCACGGCCCACATGACCCTTAACGATCATAGCTGATGCTTACACAGCGCTTCCTGTGTGCCAGGCACTGCTGTGAACACTTCCTATCTTGTGCATGTGAGGCTCCCAACAACCAGGTGAATTAGATCCTACTATCGTCCCCACTCTACAGTGAGGCAAGAGATAAGAACACCTGCAGTCATTGGATGCAAGAAGGGTTTGGGCCGCAGCCTGATCTCGGAGCCTGTGCCCCCCACCTCCCCTCTTGGTGAGAGGCCCTGCTGGACTTCTCTCTCGACACCCCTGACAGGCCATCCTCTTGCTCTGTATTAGCACCAACCAGGCCAGGTAGCTTGAGTGTGCCTCCCAGTGACCCAGGCCAAAGTATCCCTGTAGAGGGCCATTCCTCCTAACCTTTCCCTTCCCACAGTGTATCCCTTTTACCCTTCAAGTTTCAGTGGACCCGTTCCCTGCCATCCTTCTGACCACACCATTCATCCTGCCTCATAGCTGATAGAGAGCTACCTGAGTACTTGTAATATTTCATCAAACTTACCGTCGGCATAGCTTGGTGCCCTGTTACGCTAGATCTTTATTTCTGATCCTTGTGCCTGGCATATAATAGCACCCAGTACATGCCATTGAATATATAAATGAATCTAAAATGCTTCTCAAAGACGTGATGGAGATGTTCAAGTTTGGCAGGAGGTGGTGCAGGGAGTTCGAGCAGCAGATAGAGGCTGGCCCAGAAGACTTGAGATTCCTTCTGGCTTGGACAGTACATGAGTCTGGCAGTTGCAATGATAAGGGTTTTGCTTTAATGGAAGTAAAAAGCAGACTGAATTGAGGGAAGATATGGGGAGACTTGGCTTCTACTTCCAGTTCCGTCACATACTCACCGTGACTTGGGCCAAGTTACTTCCCTCTCTTGGCCTCAATTTCCTTCGTCCTCAGAATGGAGAAAAATAATACTTGAGTAAGTGGCTGCTTTGCCCTTCTCCCCATCCAGTCCTTGTAAGAGTGAGTGCCAGCTAGGGAGACTGCACAGACCCAGCCCAGGGTACACGGCGAGGGCACGTGGGGGAAAAAGAAATCTGGGATCCCTATCTGTACCCCGAGCCATGGGCTGGAGACTCAAGTTCCTGTCCTGATTCTGCCACTCGCTCTTAGGGACCCTAAGACCTTTTCTTCTCACTTCTCCAGGGAAAAGGAGCTAATGTCCTGGTGAGGATCAGATGTGTAAAATCTATGTAGACAGACCCAGGTTGTACTGAGGGAGGTGCTGGACTGAGCCTCCAGATGAGCCACACACCTTGTTTCTGTCTGGTACCAGCTTTATTACTTCGAGCAAGAAACATAGGCTCTCTGCCATACTTTCCTTATCTGTAAGTGGGAACAGTAACAACGCCCACATTCCAGAATTGGTGGTGGAGCTCCAGCGAGGTACTGCGTGTTAGCATGCTTGCTAACGTGATACTTAAAAGTCTAGTTCATGTAAACCCTCTGGTCACTTTGGACAAAATGTTTCCACTCTTTGGGTTTTGTTCCCTGACATTTCCAAGCTGTCAGACGTTCTGGTAGTCTCTAGGACCTGAGCCGGATGCTGTGTCTTCTCTGGGAGACTGCCCACCGACATACATTCATTACTCTTCTCACAGGGGTGGAGGGGTGGGTAGGAGGAGCTCAGGCACAGGGTGAACTCCGGGCCCTGGACTGGGTGACCCGTGTGCCCCTGCTCCCAGCCACAACCTGAGTAACCACGCCTTCCTGGGCGGCTCTGCGTTATATGCTCCGTGTCACGCACAAGCTGATTCGGTTCTTGTTGCAGCTCGTATGCGTCGATCTGGTGGCCGCAGGTCTACCGGCTCAGCTCGGGAACTGGAAGACATCTAAGTATAGACAGCCTTTTTTCCTCTTCTGCAATAGCTACCTGTCTCTGCCACACCAGCAGCCCCCTTGACTGCCACCTACCAGTTCTACAGACCTCTTTGACCTTTCTCTTGTGGCCGATCTAGCTTGCTGCTGCTTGATGTTCATCTGCCTACACTGTAATTCATTTCAAAACACTCCCCCTTGTTACAACAAAGGGCCTCCTTCCCCCTCCCCAGTCATCCTATAAGTTATGACTGGAGCCTGCAACCTCCCGGCTAGTGCTTTCCTCTTTATGGCATTTGACTACTTTGTATGTGAACAGTATTTGAGCTTCGATTGTCTTGCTCCTGGGAAAATGTCAAGGTTAACACTGAGGGGACACAGACGCTGCAAGGTAATCTTCAGGGTGGAAACTTTTTTACAAGGCAGGAGGCAGGCCAGGAGCTCTGAGAAAGAGCGGTGGGAATTGATTCCAGCAGGTTAAGACCCTACTCTCATTAAGATCAACTGAACTTTAGCTCTTATCTGAGCTGGAGGAAAGAGCTTCAACTGCAGGGCCTCTTGTGTACAAAGCAAAAACCGTGGCGGTGGAGAAAGTGGGTTTTATGCCTGTGTGGTCAGCGGCTTAGAAGTAATTTATGCATGAGTCAACGCTAACACAGACCCTCATCGGTGAACGCTGACCAGTGGGAGAGCCCTTACACAACTCACACATAACTGTCCTTTAGAAAGACTTCACACTTTGCTAACCAAAAAGTTAGCAAGAAGCTTCACAGGGCTTTCTCAGAGCCACAGAAATGGTTCCCGATGCACACAGTCAACTGGCTTATATCTCCTCTCCATTCCTTTCCAGTGAGGAAGAGGAGGCTCGCAGACTTGACTGGGCCCATCATCCCCAAGGTCCGAAGTGGTGTCTAATGTGTGAAGGGGACGACCATGCCTTTGAACTGCACACGTTCTACTGATAATCTGTGCTCTGCAGTGGAAACCAGAAGGCAAAGTGCCGGCACAAAACCCTTTCGTGGTTCAATTCTTTATGCACTAAGGTTTTTAGGTTAACTAGTGGTTGTAGTTGAAACTTTTATAAACTATGGTTAATGTGAAGTTTTCCTTTAGTCACAGAAGTTCAGTCTGGTTATTATTTAAAAACTAAGAAGACCCCAAACCAACAGATCTTACTGAAGACGTTCTAGCATGGGACTTAAGCCTGGGAGCCCAATTTCAGGGGCCTCACTGCGTGGTGTTTCAGGTGTGTTTAGAATGTGTAACGCACAAACAGCACGCTCTTCCGCATGGTTGAAAAGCATTATAAAATACTTTATTATGAATTTGATCTTAGGCATTTAGTGAACAGATCATCGTTATTAATCCTCCTTTAAATTTTAAGAACCTCAAGATTAAAGTTGCCCAATTGATCAGTGGGTCAGGAAGCACAATGTTGCCCCCCGTGAAAGAGCGACTGAAGGCCACAGAGCTCTGCCATGATTCAAAGAACGTGAGGTTCCTTTTGCTGGATATGAGGAAATGATTGAAAAGCCAGTGAAATTTCAAGTTGCAAAAGCCATCCTTTCTTCACCTATCCCAGGCAGCAAACATTTCCCTGAGTGTTCTTTAGGAACATCTGGGATTTATTTCCCATTTAATATTGGAATCAGAAATAATGTTTTCCTTACTCAGTGTCAACCTCAACGATGTGAAAACCTATGGCCAAATACTTGAAAACACCTTTCTGTATTGCACAGTGGGCCAATGGCTTCTGGGAGGTAAAACAATAGGGAAATTTCTAGTCCATTACGGCCATAGTTAAAGACTTCAACCATGTGTCACATCACCACTGATCTCGTCTGTCAATTAAGCCTCTGAAGGCCAATGGTGAAGAAAATCCAGATATCAAAGAATTAGGAAACCCTGGCCAAACCATCCCAAGACGATTATTCTGTAAATGTAATATTGGTGTTTCTGCCAGATCCCTTTTTCACATCATGTGCATCTCTTGGGACCCAGCAAAAATGTTAAGCCACAATGCCCTTGTGCCTTTTAATATACCACAGTGCCAGTTAAACTAGCATTTCTGTTGCTCGAGAGTTATTTTCATGAGTGATTCAGCAAATCTTATGACAAAGGACAGCCCAAATAGCTGACGAGCACAGACTAAGCTGCAGAGCACCGAGCGGAGGCTATTGACGAAAAAGGCAAAGTCTTGCACACTGAACTGTGATGATGTGGACAGTACAGGGTAACCAGAGGTGGAGCCAGGGCCTCACGCTAAGGGAGAGTGTCTACTGAGGCTGCAGGTGGGCCCAGGAGTGGCACCATGCTGCAGGGATGGCCCTTCCCGCTAGGCTTCTCCTTGAAACACAACTGCAGCTGTATTCTGCGTCACTGGAAACTGCGACATAAGATTAAATCTGTTGGTCTATGGACGGTTGCGTATGTATTTCTTGCGACTAGGGTGACAGGGACACGTGCCTGACATGTTGGCCAGAAGGCTGGGAAACTACCATGGCAACGCAGAACGACCTCCCTCAAAATGTGTCTTCTGTCCCAAGGTGTTCATCTAAAAACTGCCCAAATGTCAGCGTCCTCAAACTAATTTGAATCTTCCAAAAAGAATACTTAAAGCTAAGCATGTGGGTATGGGGGGAGCACTCTCACAAAAACCAAATCAATAAAAAAATGAAGGTGGGCCACATCTTTAAGACCATCTGCTCCATCAGATGAGCTATTAGACTAGGGAATGGCAATTTTTTTTCTATAAAGGGCCAGATGGCAAATATTGTCAGTCTTGCACACCACAAGGTCTCTGTTGTAACTTAATTCTGCCATAGATCATGTGTAAATGAATGGGTGTGGCTACTGCAATAAAACTTTATTTACAAAAAAGCAGGAAGCAAGTCAAATGCCATAGTCTGCAAATCCTGACTTAGCCTCTCAGGCTGCCAGAGAGGAGATGAGGTCAGAGGTGGTGGATGGTAGGTGACCTGAGTGGCCTGCTTCCAAGGAGTCCACCTCCAGGGCTATAGCTTTCACGCTTCTGCCACCAGGGTGGACAAGTCTGCTGACAAGCCCAATGACTACTACCAGCCTGCTGCATGGCACAGAGAGGGCATGACCTGGTCACCAGGCTCAAGGCTCTCTCCCCCAGCGGCTTTGGGATCCCACAACAGCTCTTTTTTCTGTGCTCTGGCATCTTCTTTTTTTTTTTAATATTTATTTTTGAGAGACAGAGCGTGAGCTGGGGAGGGGCAGAGAGAGAGGGAGACACAGAATCGAAGCAGGCTCCAGGCTCTGAGCTGTCAGCACAGAGCCCAACACAGGGCTCAAACCCCAAAACTGCAAGATCATGGCCTAAGCCGAAGTCGGACGCTCAACTGAGCCACCCAGGCGCCCCTCTGTCACCTTCTGAGTCACGTTTCAGGTGAGCGGGCAGAACCCAACTCCCTCTTTCCTCCCCCCACTGAAGTTTAGGTGGCCAACACGGTACCCAGTTTATGATGCTGGCATTCCCTGTTTCTCTGTTGCCGCAGCTTTGATGTTCTCCAGCGTATGGTCACTGTGAACCTAGCTCTGCGAAGGCCTAGGGAAATGCTGATGGTGCCACTCTCGTAAGCACGGCCCATCCTCACCAGCGCCAGGCCTTGGCTCTGAGCTGGTGGGGAGTCAGTCACACCTGCTGTGGCAGCTCACTGGGTATGCGTGGCCGTCGGGCTGTACACTCACATTCCTCTTTAAAGCTGCTCTGGGTGAGACTTGAAGCCAGCCCGCTCCCTTTGTCCTGACACGTGACACAACAGGCTGTGAACCCTTGTCGTTGGCAAGCAGGGCAGGTCAAGATGAGCTGGCGGCACTGGGGAGTCGAGCAGAGTTTATATTGGTCCCATGGGGCTCCACAATATGAACATTCTGGGGAAGAGAGAAAAGCCCTAGTTATAAACACACACATATACACGTGTATACATGTAGACAGGCGCTTCTCCAATTCCTAAATATAACTCTTAGCACATCAGCTAATATATCCTGTTGGGCCTGGGAAGGTTTTAGAAGTTTCCCGTCTTCTACCAAAAAATGCTTCTTCACCCCCACTTTTTTTGGGGGTGGGGAAGGGGTAGGTTCACCTGGGAATTGTCTTCCTGATTCCAACATTCGGTGACTCACTTTCTTCTTTTTCCCACTTAGAAAACAGGTAATATTGTTTCTCTCTTTATTCCAAAGCTGGCCAACTACCCCTTGGTTCAATGGTCTTTTTCCCTTTTTAGGTCATTCCCTTTATCGTGGGAAACAACACACGAGTACAGATGATCCCACATCTATATTCAGCTTCCTCCCACCTCTATATCCACGGCCCTGCTCCCCAGGCCTGAGGTTCTGCTGCTGTTGCCAGTGGACACCTGACCACCTGATTCCTAAAACCCCCATTATCTATTTTCTCAGCCTGTTTTTCCCTGCTGACTTCCTGTTACCATGAACAACATCACCATTCTTCAAGTGTCCTTAACTAGTTTAAGCCACCTTCGGGCCTTCTCTCTTGCCTTCACACTCACATGCAAGTACCCATCATATCCTGCCAACGTTTCCTCAGTACATTCCTCAAATCCACTATTTCTACTTACTTATAATTTCTACTCCATCTAGCTCCAAAACAGATCTCAAGTAGCTTTCAATAAGACACACAAATATAAAAGACTGTTAAAATTAATAAAAAGATCAAGAAGAAAAGGGAGAGGACAATCACACTCAAATCTTATTCATTATCTGAGTGGTAATTCACGATCACAGGAGTTCTAGCAAATTACGACAGTCACTAGGGTTGTCTGCCCATGACCTTTCCGGTTCAAAATAATGGCATCCGGGGGCACAAGCCGTTTTTCTTAAGGATTATTTCCATCCTCCTTTTACTGACTGTCCTCATTGGGTACCACACATCGGTGAGGACTCAAAACTACAGTCAAACCACAGGCTTCCTGAGCTCACACCTTCCTGTGGCCACCCCTGCCTTGGCTGTGGGTTCAGCCCCTACCTCGGAATGCCCCACCCACCAGTCAAAAGTACCTCACCTACCACATGTGTCTATAGACCATCTAAAATGGAGGTTCTTTAAATAAAATACATAGTATTACAAGGAAACGAATTATATAGAAATATAAAATATCAAAACATCTTCAAAAATCTGTATAGTAAGATATTAACACATGAAATAAGACAGTGGGGGCCTAATACTTCCATTTTGAGACAATGACGAACATAAATGCTATTTGGGGATGTCTGCAGCCACTATCATATGTGAAAATACTGTGGTTTCTGTTGATGACAGAGTCACTGGTGTATCTAATATTACTGATTTGTTGCTTACATTACAGTCAAGGAAAGTGCTACGTGTAGTGCGGGGTTGCAAAAATAAAGATATAATTATTTTCCCATCCAAATTCACAGAACCCCTAAATTTTATATCTCATCTCCTGGTGAAGACCCTTGATTCAGCCTATTAGTTCAACCCCCAGCATGCAGGCAAAGCAAGTGGCACCACCCCTAATGTAAAGGACTTGCCTAACCAGTAAACAGGAAGTCAAGATGGCAGTACAGGCCTCCTGATTCCTGGTCCAGGGTTCTGTCTGCTCCACTACTGCATCTCCAACTCTAATGGGAAATGGTCATACTACATTACTTCTTCTCCGTATTTTCTTCTTCACGTAACCAGTACTGGCCTGCCTTCCAGAATGCTTCATACAGAGTATGCCTGATCATAAATTCAGGTTCCAGCCTGTGCCAACCTACCTGACACTATATCACTGTTGTAGGATAAGGCATAACGCTCATCAAAAACAAACAATTTCCCTTTGTAGAAACCATCAGGAAACTCCTCCAGGTACTTGTGGATGCCACCCTTGAGCTGGAACACTTCCTTGCATACTCCCTATGTGAGGAAAAACAAGAAGAAATTTGAGGAGACAGAGACGAGTAAGAAGCTCCACAGGAGACTGGCAGGTGATGACAGCAGTCAGGGCCTTCCACTAGATCCTGGGAAGCCCGGCTATTTTTGCTGTCCCCTAAATATAGAAGGACACCTGTCGGGACATGTAATGTGAATTTGCTCTTCTCAGGATCAAGCATAAGGATTAGGAAAAGGGAGATGTTCACTAATCTTTCCCTTTTGTACCTGATGAGTGTCTAAGACTGTTAAGTGCTTTCCACATCTTGAGATTTAAGAACTTCAGATCTTGTACTTACAAACTCTATTCTGGAACCATACAAGGGAAAAATAAATCCCTGGCTGGCTGAGGGTGACAGAGGGAATGAAGGTGGGGAGTGGAAGGCTCACTACATGCTGTTGGTAGAACCTTCTTCATCTCCACACCTGCAGTGACTCCAAGGGTGTTAACTCACCTTGGCTTTGAGGTAGGCTGAACCCCGCTCACAACGGATACCCCCAGTGCAATACATCAGCACCTTCTTCTCTCTGAAAAGTTCTAGATTTTTGTCAATGTAGCTAGGGAAGTAACTGAATTTCCTGATGTCTGGGGCTAAACAGCCCTGAAATCGCCCCTACAACATAGGAAAAGCAGAAGGAAATTTATCAGAAAAACATACCTGGTAAGAACAAAGGTTCTTTCTGTGTCAGCCCCACTCAGAGCCCCCCTTTGGAAGGCACCACTTACTAGCTGCTGTTTCTCATCCTACACTCTGACCTTTCAACTTCAAGATCTGGAACTCAGAAATAAGCCTGGTGGGCTATTGGTCACCTTACCAGAGTCCTCAGAAAACTGGAAAGGCTGCCCAAAGCAAACTATAGGATCCTTGACCTATATCAAGGGTAGGCACATGGGAGCCAAAAAGTACATTATGTGCCAAGATGTCTTTTAATTCCTACTTTCTTAGACTTTCTCACCAGGTCCTGAGTTCAAAGGCTAGGGTTTTCTCTGAAGCTGCTAGCAGTCAGGGGAGATCTATGTGACTTGGGCACAGGCAGGCATAAACAGCAGCACCTCGGGAAACATGCCATGATGTGGGTAGGGGAAGGCCTACCATTTCACTGAACTCAATTCTGGTTCTACTTACTATTTTGCTTTCATAGAAGTTTCTGCAGTCCAGGAGGATAGTATCACTTTGTTCTTCATTTGTCTGAGACAAAAACTTTCCTACTTCTTTATGAAATTCACCTGGAGATAAATGGACTCCTAAAACCAAACCAAAAATCTACTTAAAACAAGACAAAAACAAAACTCAAAACCCAATCACAATTGGCCCACCCTGATAACTCACATGTTATTCCGTTTCCTTCCACCCAAACCTTTATTCATAATTGCAATTATATCTCAAAATAACACTACTTGATGACCATAATGAAACAGTTTAGTAACTCCAGATATCCTCCTTTTCCTTCCTCCAAAGATAAGTGGTATGGAGACCTGGAGGTTTAGAAATGATTAGTCAAAGAATTTTCCATTCTCTTGGTCTAACCCAGTGATAAAAGCCAGACAGTGGGGATCTAAATTGCTAAGTGGGTTTGCTGGTCCATTATACGGCCAATGTTCTATTTTCACTGTATGTGGAGGAGCCTGGGCATGTATGTGCTTGACTATAGGCTTTTGACTATAACAAAGGTGAGCCCAAGTTCAAGGCTAAGAATCTTGACAGTCAGCTACGAGTATACATTTGTGGAATAAAGTGGGGTATTCTTCAAAAATACAAAAGGGTAAGAAGAATGTGTGTAAGTCTGTGTGCATGAGGAAAAGAGAGGGTGGGAAGGGCTGACAGCAGCAGTGACACAAGAAAGCAGGGCAGGAGACAGAAAAGGAGGGAAGAGCTAAAGCATGCAGGAGAGAAAGGAGATGAAGAAAATAAGTAAAATCCAAGGAGACTAAAAAGAGAGAACCTCGGTCTGGTGGGGCCCTCTGCCTTCTTGACTCTCCAGAACAGAAATATTCCCGTATCTTAGGGGGTCCAGACATCCCCTGATTGTGAGGACTTTGGGGGAATTTGGCAGCATGGACTAACCACACCTTACAGACAGGGACTCTGGGGATGGCAGTCACCACACCTGGTGGATCCTGATGGCACCAAGGGAGCCTCATTCTGTTTAAGGGTGAACCCCAACAACCACCCGAAACTGCTAAGTACTCAGGTGGGGCTAGAGGCCCCCGAGCATGGCCAAGGAATCTGGATTCCTACCTGCCGAACCTATGGCTATGAGAATGTAACGAAGCCAGAATTGATTTTTTATTATCAAGTGATTACAGGTCACCAAAACGGGGGTGAAAGGGAGCTTCACAACTGTGATGAGAAGCACGGAAATCTGCTACGACTTCTACTTCTACTTACTCCCTGCTGCTGCTCTACTGGCCGTGCGAAGGCCTGACTGGCCAGGGACTCCGATGGACATGTTTAAACGAGAGGCCTCCAAACAGCATGGCCCAAAAGAGAGCAGCACAGCACTGCCTGGAGCCGGAGCCCACTCTCCCCTAACCTCCCAACAACGTCCTGTAGCACCAAGAAAGAGCTCCTTACTCATCCCACTAAGGTAGGGACACGGTGCACACATGGCCCTTTTGGGCCCTTCTCTCTTCATGCATGAGTCTCTTTCCCTCATGCTGTATCCTACTCCTATTTCCCTCTGACTTAACCCTTAGCATTCTTTTAAATACCTCCATATTAGAAAGCAAATGCAGACAACCAGACCTTTGTGCTTCCTGATGAAACAGGACAATGCTACCTGTCAGGCAGTCTTGGGGGAAAAAAAGGAAAGAAAGAAAAAAGGAAATCAAATCTGAATCTGACCAAGTCTCTAGATCTGAGGCATGTAACAGAGTAGCCACTAGCCACATGGGGATATCGGGGCCTTGAAAGGTAGCCTGAGATGTGCTATAATAAGAGTGACATAGATCTAGGATTTCAAGTACTTAGTAAGCAAAAAAAGGTAAAAGATCTATCTCATTAGTAATTTTTTACATTCATTACACATTGAAGTATTTTGGCTACACTGCATTAAAGCCTATTTATTAAAATGAATTTCACTTGTTTCCTTTTACTTTTAAAATGTGGTGACTAAAAAAAACACCATAAAATTACCTATGTGCTTCACATTAGTTCTATCAGACAGCACTGTTGTAACTATCAATCTATAGGAAAATAGAGGACAGAGGAGATACAGTCAGCTTTAGCCAGATGGTGGGAAACTACAGACAAAATCACCTGGTTCCTTCAAAAAAACAAACTGCATGGGGAAAAGAAACAAAGATGGGGGCAAATGTGCAAGCTAAAAGAGACTTAAAGGGACATAGGGATCCACCACAATGAGTGGACCTTACTTGAGTCTTAACAGAAACGAACTTGAAAAATTATGCGATCGCCACAGGTACAATTTCTTCAAATACACCAACATGCAATTCTGGAAAACAGCAAGCCCCTTTTCTTTGCTGGTCTAGCCAATTTTAAGAACTAGCCAGATATTTGATAATATTAAGGAATTACTATAAAAAAGGTTTTATTTAGATGTAATAATGGTTTTACAGTTATTTATTTAAAAAAAAATTTTATCTTTTAGAGGTCTCTACTGAAATATTTGTAAATGAAATGACATTGGGATTCCCTTCAAAATAATCCAGGATGGGACAAGGGGGCAGGGTATAGAAGAAAGTTGGCAATGAATCAGTAATTGCTGAAGCTGTATGACAGGTACATGGGAGTTCACTATACTATTTTCTCTACTTTTTTTTTAATGTTCGATCATTTTCATAGTAAAAAGCAAAACAAAAACAAAAACCCACCAAATAAATGTCTTTCAACCATCTATGGTAACAATAGGGAGGAAGGGGAAGAGAACATTCTAGAGCACCTGCAAACCAACTGCTTTGGATCTGAAAGCCACTTGCTTCCTGAAGCAGAAAGCCTGTTATTCAGTTGATGAACTATTTACAAATAATAATTACACTCTTCCCAGATTGCTATCTTTGGAAAGAGAAAATAAGTTCTTGCCAAACCGTCATCAAGAAGAATAAGACGGGGCATTCTAATGGGTGTGTCTTCAATTACCATAGCACCAAAGAGAAGACCAGTTTAAGCACTGGATGACCCACACGCTAGCTACCCTACAGCTGTTTTGTTTTTTTTTTTAAGCATAATTAATATACAGTGTCATATTAACTTCAGGTATACAATATAGTGACTCAACAATTCGATACATTTCTCAGTGCTCATCAAGATAAGTGTACTCTTAATCCCCTTTATCTATTTCATCCATCTCCTGCCCACCTTCCCTCGGGCAAGCACCAATTTGCTATCTAAGACTCTGTTTTTTGTCTCTTTTTTCTTCGTTTTGTTTCTTACATTCCATACCCCCAAAGCCATTTTAAAGAGTGGATTGCTGATCAGAGTGTCTAATTTCCACATGTGTTTCTATATTAAGTTTCGTCCCTGTGAAGAAGAACAAAATTTTTCTTCTAAAAGCAAGCATACCAGGCTTCTTGTAGGAGATCTTATTGGGACTGATCCCCATGGGCACAATTTCTTCAAATACACCAACACGCAATTCTGGAAAACAGCAAGCCCCTCCTTTGCTGGTCTAGCCAATAAGAAACAAAACAGAATACAGTCTTACTCTCCCATCTCCAGATATAAGCCAAGTGCCAAATACAAGAATTATATCTGTTTTGTAATAATAGCTGAAGTCTTAAGAAACTTCAAGGTAAGAATTAATGTTTTAATGGGAAGGGAGTTTAGGGCCTAAAATGTTTCAGATAATTCACCTCTAATAAATATTTATTGCATACCTTCCATGAACTGAAATGTTAAATTGCAAAGGTGTTTCTATGGCTATAAGCGTTTAACTATAAAACCAAAATAATTTCAGCATGTAAGATTACATCCTAGCTTTTGCTCTGGAGGAGCGACCTCTCTCCCACCATCACCAGCACTAACACTAGTAAGGTAGTCCCCACCACCTTTATCACCTACTGTGACAAAGCATAAGGTCACCCAAAGGAGCTCAGGTCGCTCAAACAAAGGAGCTCAGCCATGAGAGCAACAGCTTTGTCCCCCATGTGGTATGAAGTACTGATCTTGTAATTCCAGGTTGACTAAAAAGTCGTGATGCCCTGAAACAGCCAGGTGGTCCCTCAAGCGAGCAAACACATCTAAGTTTTAGAGTTAGACTGTGCAAACTGTAATGTCCTTATTCGATAAGAAAGGAGATTAAGGGCATTCACTTGCCCCAGATCACATGGCGACTACACAAGAAAGTGGAATGAGCATGCTCCTTTGACTGCACTGCCTCACAACCTAATGGGGAAAAAGGCTGCTGACTTCTCCACACTGATCTCCGCTTCAGAGCCTAGAGAGGGAAGAGGCACTGAGGCAGAAGCAAATGGCTCAAAATCCATTTTATTTTCAATTTCTCTTACCTTAAAATCATCCTTACACATATAATCCTTAAACAATGGGCAGGAAAGCATGGCTTCCACATAGAGTCTGGTGGCCAGTTTGCTTCCACCAACTGTCCCATTGATTCCTTCTGTAGCAATTCGAACCTGGGACACAAGACGGTGAGAGAAAGGGAATGCAGCCTGTTCTTAGCTTAGTTTAAATCTTCCCGGGGCAGAATAGGCTTGTGTGTGTCAGTGAGTTTAAGGGGAAAAGCAGAGACACAACAAAAGTGTTACCACACAAAGATACTTGTAGTTTTCTAAAACGGCACTGCCCACAGTTTAGATGAGGTACTCAATAGATGTGCGCTGAAGAAGAGAATGCAATGAGTGAAACTTCTGGAAAGCCCCATTTGCTACAAAGCCCCAGTTGTCCAATGCCCAAAGAAATAAATTTTGAGCTTAACCTAAATCCAGGTCAGAAGATCTAAGATCAAGACTCATCTTTGCCACTTACTTGCTTTGTGGCCCTGAGAAAATTAACTTACTTCTCTGGACCTCAATTTCTTCATCTTCATAAAAAGGAGGTAAGAGAGAAGCAACAATGAAGACAACTGCTGAGGAGATATTTCCCAAGTCCAAAAACACAGAGCACGGCTGAGAGCTAGGAGGGCATGTGAGTACACCCCTGCACACCGCTGCAAACCCACCCACTGGAACACAAGGTCCACAAGGGGTGTGTGTGTTTTGTCCACTACTGCATCACCGGTGCTTAGAACAGTGCCTGCCGAGTAGGTACTCAATTCACATTTGTTGAACAAATGGATGCGTATCCATATCTGAAGCTTTTTGGCTTCTCAAACACTGTATTCTCTTTAAAATGCTTCGCTGGTTAGGGGACATTCGAACCTGGATTCAGGCCCCTGCCTTAAGAGGCAATGCTCTGGGGACGCTGCCAAGTTAATTGTCTTGGAACTACAAAACGCTTCGGATGAGTTTTAAGGATGCATCATCTTTAGAAGGAGCTGAGCTCTCTGGAGAAAAGCGCTAGAGAGAACGTAGACCACTCTAGTATCATGGTACTCTACGGAGAGAGAGGTCATTTAATTCAAGGTCCTAGATTGTTACTACCATTTAGAGAACAATGATACCTACCAATGCATGAGAATTTGAAAAATTTACAAGGCTGCCCTTTTTCAGGCCCCAGAGGAAATACCGTTACCTCCCTCGATCCAGTTCTTTAGGGCATGTATATAAATGGGATTCATTTCATAAGCCAATGCCAACTCACTAGTAGTGGCTAGCCAGAGTTCTATGATGAGCATTCTGGATCCTTGACAAAGAGAATTACAATCCGCTAAAACCTGCTCTGGGCATGGGAGAGGAAAGCAGAAAGAATATGCCATCTCTGCTGTATAGACCACTATCCCCACAATCAACTTATACTTTTTCAAGGGTCTACATAGAAAATAGAGCTGAACCAGTGGAAGTGTCACGAAATTTACTCTAAAACTATTTCTGACCATGGCAGATAAAGTACATACTTCTACATAACTGTCTTTAGGGTAGACTAGTAGATTCTTTCCTATGTTCTTTTAATCTCAAAACCCAAATAAGAGACAAGGACACCTAATCCCTGTAAAGCTGGGGCAGAGCAATCTGTTGAGCAATCCAAACTCACGCACTAGACTTTGAATCCCTAAGGCTCCAGAAAAACCTGTGAAGTAGCTCCTTGGTGAGGAAAGCCTTATATCTCAGGAATGGAGAGCAACAGTTAGTATTTATTGAGCACCTACTATGATATAGGAGCTTTATAAGCCTGAAAGGTACATACCATAACTCCCATTTGACAGAAAAGGAGACAGCAGCTGAGAGAAATCAAGTAACTTGCCCAAAGACACAGAGTCAGCAGGTGGTAGATTTGAGATTCAAACCAGATATTTGTTCCAAATCATGTAATTTTTCCCTTCCAAAGCCTCCATTGTGTCCCTTCAAATTTCTTGAGGCAGTAAGGAGTTTATAGCAATAGGAATCAGAAGCTTCTTTCTCGAATTTTCAACTTGTCTTCTTTCCCTACCTAAATGGTAATACTCTGCCAAATCTCCCAAAATCAGAGAACTACCTCAGTAAACTGGGCACGTATCATTGAAGCCTAAAGATTTTAGACTCAGAGCCAGGCAGGTGCTGCCACCTTGTGGATAGGGACCCTCACTGCTAGTTCACTTCAGGCTGGGCCAAGAGTAAAAATCTGCCCCCCAAACAAGGAAAGAGATTGACTTCGTATTTTGTACATTCAGGTTCACTGTGAGAACATCCATCTCCCAAGGTGTTCTCAAACAGAGGTGATAATAAATGTATTCATTCCACAAATATTTACTAAAGATTCTACTACGCGCCAGGAACTGTGCTAGGATTTAGGGATCTAGCAGTTAAAAAAGAGTTCTTGCCCTCTTTGAGTTTACAGACTAAGGGCAATCACAGATATTAAGATAAAAATTACAAACTGACAAATGCTATGAAAAATAACTACAAGATGCTATGTGAGGGTGTACTGGGAAAAATGAATTTAGATTGAAGGTCGAGAAAAGTCTCTTTGAGGAACTATCATTGAAACTGAGAACTGAAGATTGAGTAAAAATTTTGCAAGAGAAACTGGGTGTGGGAGAGTCCCTTGAAGACAGTTTGCCTGGAAAAAGGCCCAAAGACGCAAAAAACCTTTGTGGGCTCCAGAAAAACCTGAAAGACCATGTCACTGGAGTATAAGGAGTGAAGAATGACATCAGATAGGCAGAAAAGTTAGGAAGGGGCTAAATCATGCAGGAACCTAAGGGTATATCAAGGATTTGGGTTTTACTCGAAAAGCACTAGACAGCCACTGAGAGATTCTGAGGAGAGCACAGCCGTGTTTTATTTACTTTTTAAGACGATGCAGGCTGCAGTGTGGAGAATGGATTAAATGGCAGGCAAGGACAGAAGAACAAGAGTAGATTAAAGGCTACCTCGGGGTGCTTGGGTGGCTCAGCCGGTTAAGGGTCAGACTCTTGATTTAGGCTCAGGTGGTAATCTCGTGGTTTGTGACATGAAGCCCCAAGGCGGGCTCTGTGTTGACAATGCAGAGCCTGCTTGAGATTCTCTCTCTCCCTGTCTCTCTGCCCCTCCCTTGCTGATGCTTTCTTTCTCTTTCTGTCTCTCCCGCCCCCCCCCCGCTCAAAATAAATTAAATAAACATTTTTTTAAAAATTAAAATTAAAAAAATCTCCTGAAATGGATAAGAGAGGGTAGGGCATGGTCTAAGGTGGTCGAAGGGAGGACAGAAACGAATGGACACAAGGGATATTTTAGAGGTAGAAATGGCAGGATGTGACAATGAACTGAATGAGGTAAAGGAAGCTTTTGGCACCATCTGTTAGAAAACATCAGTGTGGAAAATATCAATGATCAAACAACTGCCTTGGGACTTAAAACGTGTGGGAAAGATTAGGCTTACGATTGTACAATGTCATAACCTGAGGGGATCTCAGAGGGAATTTTAGTTCATTTCCTTTTGAGTTTTAAAAACACATTATCTGTTGGGGAACCTGGGTGGCTCAGTCAGTTGAGCCTCTGACTCAGCTCAGGTCATGACCTCACGATTCGTGAGTTCAAGCCCCACATTGGGCTCATTCCTGTTGGCATAGAGCCTGCTTCAGATCTTCTGTCCCCCTCTCTCTCTGCTCCTTCCCTGCTTGCACTTTCCCTCTCAAAAATAAATACATCTTCAAAAAATATGCAAAGTAATATATCATCTGTCTCTGTCTCTAGTTTTACCTATATACGTGTGTATGTGCATGCATGTATATGTATATGCATATATAAGTCTACGTCTATATATGTGTGTATACATGTAATCATAAAGAACGTTTCAGAAAATAACAAAAACCATCCACAATCTTATCACGCAGACATAATCATGATTAACATCTGGGTATCTATTACCTTCCATCTTTATATACAAACACTTGTGGTTCTATTACAAACATATATTCATTTCTTTATTCAACGCTCCCCAAATATTTACTGTAATGCTATGCACCAAGCCCTGTTCTAGCACTAAGAATACATCAATTAAGACAAAGTTCCTATCCTCATGAAGCTTTTATTAGGGAGACAGATTGTAACAAATTAAACAAGGATTATACCTTCAGACAATAACAAATTCTTTGAAATTCTCTGAGCAGAAGGTGACAGAAAGTGACAAGGTTTAGAGAGAGGACTACTTTGGATCAGAGTTCTGAGGAGGTTAAGATGTGTGCAGAGATCTGCAGTGGGGAATGAGCCAAGTGACGATCTAGCGGGAAAGCATCCTGGAGGGAAGGGAGCAGCAAATGTCAATACCACAAAATGGTAAAAGACCCTGGCATGTTCTAGAAAAATCAAGAAGCAACTTGGAATTATACCTATATGTATAGTTCTATGAAATTTTTTTCCAGCTAACATATCAAGAACATTTCCTAATGCCAGGGGTCAGCAAATTGTATCTGCTTCTGCATACGGTTTTATCGGAACACAGCCATTTCACATCTTGTCCCTATTGTTTAAGGTTGTTTTCATGTTACAGTAGCATGCTTGAGTAGGTGTTGTTTGTTCATTGGTTTGTTTGTTTAGAAAACACATATAGACTTAAAGATCAACAAATTCAATTTTAGGCACTTCTTGAGTACAGACGATAGGAATTTTCTGGCAAGGAATGGCCTATCTAGCAGGAAAGATCATAAAGATTTAAACTTTAGTTCTTAAACAATGTACAATGGCTAGACAACTGAAAAGAAATATTGCATAATTAATCCAACTGTATCCTGTTATAATTTCGTCACAATTCCACACACAGTTTTAGGGTTTAATAGAAGCAAGAGTGAGCAGGTTTTGGGCAAAGCCTAAAATACTTACTATTTTGCTTTGTAAGGAAAAGTCTGCTGATTCTTAGTCTACACCATTAAACAGTCATAAAATGCCACGTTAATAGCTGTTTAGCGGTCTACTTAAAAGCCTAGCAGGATTTCGCAGAACCTAACAGGGAATCCTTTTTGTCGTGAGCATAACCTCTGTAGTGCAAACTGGAGACAAGAGGAGTCCCGTGAAGGGTGCGGTGTTACCTTGCCTGTGAGGCGCAGGTGCTGGCACAGAGCCGTCTGCCAGGCACAGACCCAGGGGGGATCCCCCAGGTCACAGTAGCAGTAATAAAGTAGAACCTCTCCTTCATCACTGCCCTGGCCCCTAGAAGAAGAAAACCACAGGGAGAAGATTTGAGTCACTGGCATAAGGCAGCCACAATTCACAAAGTAGGCCCAGGCAGTATCAGAGGGCAGGCCGCGATGGACCAACTTGTGCCGAACTTTCTCCTACTGTTGTTGGCCTGAGAGAAGCAGCAACTCCGGTCAGTATTTGCTCTGAAGAAAACGTTATCTGCACCCAACTTACTTTACAAAAAGTAAGTTTACTTTGATTTCCTCATTTAGTCATCATACTCATGAGACAGGAATCAATAACCCATTTTACAGAAATTTCTGGCTTATCCTGTAAGACAGGGTCATATCTGTTTTTGAATCTCTCATTGTACAAAAAGGTTTCACTTCCATTTTTTCATGTAATCTTCTTAACCATGAGAAGGACTATTATTATCCCCACTTTACAGCTGAGTAAACCAAGGCCGATTCCTTCCAGGTGAGAAAGTGACAGAGTGACAGTCAAGACTTGAACAGTCTTCTGACACTAGAATCCATATTCTTTCTACTGCATTGTGCTGTCTCCTACTAACTAGGCATGGGAGCTGGGTGGGTCTCCTATCATCTCTGAGACTGACTTCCTCATCTCTAAAACTGGAGAAGTGAAGTAAACTGCATTTCCCAAAGTGTGCTTGAAGCTGTTCTATGAAATCACATTTTGGAGAAACCTTGCAGACAACATCTCTCTGAGGATCTCAGGAAAGCCCCTTATCTACTGAAGGCTCTGAAACGTCCTGCAATGAAAAACATTTTAACCTAGTGCTTCCCAAACCTATCTGTCTTTAGCACCTCTTTCCAACACCTGTTAGCATCCTTCAGAGCTGGTGTTGCATAGAACAGATTCCAGAGAATGCTATGGTAGATGATAATTGAGGTCCCATCCAGCTCTGGAATCTGACACCCTCATCAATACCCTCATCATACTGCAGGGCCTACTCTCTTCTGAAACCTTGTCTATTTTAGAGCCTGTTTTCCTTCCTCTAAACTACTGTAACAAATTATCTGCACCACATAATTTAACTGATAATTAAGTAGCCTGTCTCATATCCTCTGCTAAATGTTTCATGTATCCTTTTTTTTTTGTTTCTCCCCCTAGAGAGCAAATTCCTTGAGGCACAGGGCCATACAGAAGCAAAGAGGCCATTATTTGTATGCTTGTATGCCATTTTATAGTTCAGCTATTACCATCATTTTGTATAATTCATTTAGCAACACTGTGAGGTAAACAGGGCAGGCACCGATATTACTATTTTAGAGGTGACGACATATAAAGAATTTTAGTGACTAGCTCAACTTTGAGCCCAAGTTCAATTCTCTTTCTCCTTTTCTTGATAAACAAGAGGTATTTGGCACTGAATAGTAATGACAAAAGTATATTAAATTTGGACATTTTCTATTCACGAAATATTTCAGGAATTGCTTAAAATCAGAAATTTGTCCTCCAGAATTCTGTAATATAATTTTGTGAGTTTTGCAAAGGTAGGATCTAAATCCTGTGCCCCAGTTCTAAAAGTTAACATTCTTTCTGGGGCGCGCCTGGGGAGCTCAGTTGGTTAAGCGTCTGACTTCGGTTCAGGTCATGATCTCACAGTCTGTGAATTCAAGCCCCGTGTCAGGCTCTGTGCTAACAGCTCAAACCTGGAGCCTGCTTCGCATTCTGTGTCTCCCTCTCTCTCTGCCCCACCACACTCTCACTCTGTCTCTTTCTGTCTCTCTCTCAAAAATAAATAAACATTAAAAAAATTTTTTTTTTAAGTTAACATCCTTTCTAAAACATGATCAACTGAGATAACCATATTTGGTAACAAAATATGCTTTGTAAGCTCTGATACTCAAGGTAGAGGAATCATTAACATTTCTGAGCCTTCCAACTTATCTCTGAAAATACTAATACAATTTTCTGTTCATTACCTCTCCTTCAAAAAGGTAAGATGTATCCTTCCATGAAACCTAGTGAATGCTGCCAGCTACATGGGTATATATCACTGCTTCCATAATACAGAGTATGTGGCTATCAGCCTGGCTTAGACCCATAGAGAAATCCTGTGCCTTAAAGATCTTGCCATTTTAGTAGATAGGCAGTGGTATCTCATTGTGGCTGGAAAAACTGGTAAAATTAAACCAAAAGTACAGAATGGAATTCTTACCTTATCAGCTCATCAGGGCTAAAGCAGCTTACATCAGGGAGCCAAGCGGACACTTCCCTGTTACAGGTCAAGTACCCTTTTAGAGGGTTCCTATCATCTGCAGGCTTAAGGCTCTTTGAGGTGTTCAGTGTCACAGCCAGCTGCTTTAACACGGAAGCAGTCTGGCGGCAGATCTCATCAGCATGTTGTGTTGCCACATGTCTATGGATGCCGATCCGGTCTTTGAACAGCTGTTGACAACATTTCCACCATTTTTCTTTACATTCAAAAGGATGTGCAGGAACTTCTTTGGTTTTGACAAAAAGGGCAAATGCCTGCAATTACATTGCAAATATTCCACGATTAACCTTAGGTGTAAGGCTGGCAGAAGTCTCAGTGAATCCCTGACGTCATCCGTCCACATGGGTTTCTAGGTGTATGTCCCAGTTTTTTTTAGAAGAACTTCTTGAGAGAGTTAGTTTTACTTTAAATTTATGCCTCTATCTAGGGGCGCCTGGGTGGCGCAGTCGGTTAAGCGTCCGACTTCAGCCAGGTCACGATCTCGCGGTCCGGGAGTTCGAGCCCCGCGTTGGGCTCTGGGCTGATGGCTCAGAGCCTGGAGCCTGTTTCCGATTCTGTGTCTCCCTCTCTCTCTGCCCCTCCCCCATTCATGCTCTGTCTCTCTCTGTCCCAAAAATAAATAAACGTTGAAAAAAAAAATAAAAAATAAAAATAAAAATAAATTTATGCCTCTATCTAAAATTTGCTAGGGACTGTTCTTAAAGGAAGAACCTGAATTTCAGATGAATATTAGTACAACATTACAAACAACATTATCAGTCATATCTAAAAAGAAAACGGTCAAGGCAATTATGGAATGTATTTACTATAGAATATCGAGCAGGTAGTTTTAAGTTATATGAGAAAATATTTATGATATAATGTTAAGTGAAAAACAATGGAAAAAATTTGCTTATACAATGTAACCTCAACATTTAAAAATTACACTGAAAAAGATTGGAAAGAAATGTTCCAAAATGTTTTGATTTTTTGGAAAATAATTTTGTTGTTTTTATAAAAAAATATTTATATTTATTAAGACTATTAAACAGAAAACTATGGGCATGCCATAATTCTCTTAACCAATTCCTAACTAATGGACATTTGTTTCCAAACTTTGCAATTAGGGCAAGTGGGTGATGCAAATAAGCAATGCTGAGTAAGCATTCCATGCATACGTTTTTACACCTCTTTAAACATCTAATTTAAATAAATATCTAAAATAAAACAGAACCTGACACGAGGCTCAAATCCATGGACGGTGAGATCATGACCTGAGCCGAAGTTGGATGCTTAACCGACTAAGCCACCCAGGCACCCCACGTATTTACATCTATTGCCTATTTTTCTACTGTGGCATGGATTTTCTGTTTTGTAAGCAGTTTTAGTGACCTTTTATTGATCATAGTTCTCACAAATCTGTTTCCTAGCTTGTCATTTGTTCTTTAGTTCTGTGGTATTTTTGATGTACAAATAGAGGCTAAATGGGATCTATGATTATTAGCCTCTCAACAACTGTTCCCTCCTAGTCTAATGGAAAAGGAGATACTTATGTGTGTGTGTGTGTGTGTGTGTGTGTGTGTGTGTGTGTGTGCAATGCACTTGGAGACTACTGTAAAGCATCCAAAAACAAGCACTCTGAACATCGATAACAGACACGAAGCGCCACTGTGGGGCCATCCTCTGGCTGTACACAACTGTATCTGGACTGTCTCAGACCGAAGTACCAGGAAGGGTAGCCTGAAATTACACCGCAGGGCATTTTTAGCCTCATTTGCAGTGAATCCTTCCAGATAGGCAAACAAAAAAACAAAAGAGATAGCACATATGTCAACATATGTGCTTCTTTGTATTAAACTTTGATTTTCAAATCCTATCTGGTCTTTTAAGGCCTTGTGAACAAGGCATTGAGGACCCATCTGCAGTTGAGCCCCTGTGGGATCTGTTCAAGAGGGAGAGTCAGGCCAGAGCCAGGATGGCAGCTCAGAGGTGGGTGAAGCCTACAGGAAGGCAGGCCCTGGGAGGCCCAGCGTGGCAGGGTGGGTATACTGATTCCATACAGAAGAATATGCAAATAAGGAAATACATTGGGACTAATCAGAGCCAAGTTTCTCATCAAACCTCCTCAAATAGGGAAGTTATAAATATGGGAAAGGGAGAGTTAAGAAAACTCTTGTGATGCTGGAATGAAAGTGAAGTGCTGGTATGAGCTCATGGCGTAATATTGGGATGGTAGTAAATATAGAAGTATAGGTATAGGTTTAGCGCATAAACATATAGACGTTTATGCACTCATCTACATATTTTCCTAGCTTCACACACCAGAGGTCCTGGGAGAAGTAACATTTAGTAGCAATGAGTTTGCTGAGCCTCCAGGTTGTGATTTTTCATTAGAAGCAACCGGAGCTCCTTGAAGAAATGTCTGGTTCCAGGGATGGGGCAGGGAAAATACAAGATGAGTCTGGAACATCTTGTTGAGTCAGAAAGTAAGGAAATGCTCAAAGAATGATGGGAGCAAGTCAAAAGGACATATAGATACTAGCTTAAAAGGGCCCCCAGCCAGATCTGAGATGATCTGAGCATCGCAATAAATCATGACACAGTGGACTATCACCCAACAAATAAAATGTTGGGTGATAAATAAATAAATAAATAAACAAATAAAATTGGGAGAAAAGAAGGCTCTTCCTTACAGCAAAATGCCAAGTAATAAATCTAGAAGGAATGAAGCAATTAGAAAATCACCCTTTAGCACCCATCACAGTAACAATTGACTAAGCAAAGAAACACCAATGAATCTAAGATTAGTAGATGACAGTTGGATAAGGAATAGCATAGGTACACAGTCTCAAAGTATTCCCCCTCCCCCCTCAAATACTGACTTCTTAAAAGGGAAAAAAGAATAATTTTATAACAGAGAAATCTGACAGTCACTCCCTTAATCAAGTAACCAAAGTTAACACCACCAGTAATGGGACAAATTGCCATTGTGAACCACCTGATAGACTGTCACCAGATAAACACAGCATTTCTTGTGGGATGGTTTTGTTAATAAAAGCACTAACCTGAATCTAATCATAAGGAAACATGAGTGAAGATCAAATAAAGAGATATTCTACAAAATAACTCATGTAATCTTTAAAAATGTCATGGTCACGATTTCAGGGGAAAAACGAGAAAGTGTTCCAGAATGAAGAATATATAAGATGTGACAGCTCAATGCAACACCCTGGAATGGATCTATAAAGCCATTTGGGACAACTGATGAAACATGAATGGAGCTTGTGTGCAAAGGGGATATGAGGGTCCTCTGTACAATTCTTTCCTCTAAGTCTGAAATTTTTGTAAGATAATATTTGAAAAAACCTTTCTGTACCCTTTGGGTTTCATTTTCAAGGACATCCATGTGAGATGAGAACAGAGGGGTGACGGATGAGAAGTTATAAGTAGGGACATCTATTCTTCATTGACATGAAGCCAACAAAAGCTAACTGTGGAAGGAAGAAGGACAGCAGACTGGAGGTAAGAAAACTAAGTCTCAGTTGCATGTCCTCTGGTCGTTTTCCTTCCTCTGACCTTCAGCAGGAGGTTTGAGTCAACGATCTCTGAAAAAAGGATAAATGGCATAGAAGAGCAGCATATCAATATCACCTCCCATTATAATCCAATCCCAACTGTCCTTAGTAAGTTTGCATCCATCCTGGGCTGCTGTGTCCCTTCTCCTAACCAAAAGAACTCAGCCAGCTAGATCAGATCAGGAGTCTTAGATGGCAGCTGCCATCTGCCTGTCTGTTCTCCGTTTGACAAGGTCTCCTGGGATCCTTCCCCTAACTCTAGGTGGGAAAAGGAATTCAGCCCATCTTTCTAGAATCTGTCCTCAAGTACTCAACCATACGTGTTCCACAACCACACCTTACCTATGATTCTTCTTCGCCTGGCACTGACTTAAGATCACTAATTAATGACCCTAACTATACCTTGCCTTGAGCATGGCAGCAGCCTTGAGTCTCACTAGCCCTCTGTTCCCTGGAGGACAGCCTTGATGAGCTACTAATAGATGCATCTGAACTAACTATACATATGTGATCCTGAAGCATAAACGGCAATGCGGCAATCTTACCTTTTTCTTGGCAAATGAGTATTTCTTTTTCGTACTGACATCCAACTCGGCTTTAAGACTGCTACTGGGATTGATAAGCCTTGTGTCTTTTAAATCTAACTCTGAAAATCTTAAAACACAGGCCTCCAGGTCCTCTCCTTGGTCGGGTGAAGTAAAAGAAGGCATCTGGTTTGGTTGCAGTAGTGGGACAGATTCCTTTCAGTTAACTATCTCCTAGGAAGCAAGGGAAAAACGACAATATCGGTCGTTGGTTACTACTTGAAGTAAACTTGAAGCTACTCAATCAATCAGGAAAATAAGCATGGGCCCAGCAACCCAAGCCATCCATCCATTCACTCACTTATTCAATAAATATTTATTTAGCACCTACTCTATGCCAGGCACTGTTCTAGACAATAGGAATAGAGCAGTGAAAGAAATGGAAAAAGTCCCTCTGCTTGCATTCCAGTAGGGAGAGACAGAAAGTAAACAAACGATTAAATTTAAAAAGTCAGATAGGAGGGGCCTCTAGGTGGCTCAGTCAGTTAAGCATCTGACTCTTGATTCTGGCTCAAGTCATGATCTCAGGGTTATGAGATGGAGCCCCACGTCCGGCTCTGTGCTGAGCATGGAGCATGCTTAAGAGTCTCTCTCTCCCTCTTCTTCTGCCTCTCCCCACTACCCCCTTTAAAAAAACAGATAGGAAAACGGTCACGAAAACAAAAACCAGGGTAAGGAGTTAGGAGTGATGGAGGGGCTCTTTAAAACAAAGGCTAGGTAAAGTCTTTCTGAGGCAGTAACATTTGAGCAGAAACCTAAATTAGGGGGCAAGCCCCGCAAACATTTAAGGTACATTATACCCGAAAAGCACCAGCTACAACCAAAATCAACCAAACTGTGTACTAGACTTCAATTACAAACATTTTGTCCTTTTATATCCTTTAATTTTAGAGCTGTCCAAATTCCATTCCTTAGAAGAAATAACAACCAAGAAAACCCCATTTTAATAAACAGAAGAAATATAAAATATAAAAATCACTCCTGTGGCCAAATCTTGTCAAAATGGACATACTACCAACTACCAGTCAAGCCACCATAATTTCTTCCTTTCTTTTTAAATTTTTTTAAAGTTTACTTTTTGAGAGAGAGAGAGAGAGCACAAGCAGTGAGGGAGACACAGAATCCGAAGCAGGCTCCAGGCTCTGAGCTGTCAGCATAGAGCCCCACACAGGGCTTGAACTCACGAACTGTGAGATCATTACTTGAGCTGAAGTCCAACGCTTAATCTACTGAGCCACCCATGCGCCCCAAGCCACCGTCATTTCTTGACCGAATTATTGCAGTAGCCTAACTGCCCACCTCCCCAGTAAGGTAACTAAACAGCAGTCCAAAGGCTTCTCAACATACTCTAATAAAGTCCAAAATCCATCCAAAGCCCCTCTCACCGCCTCTCATCTCATCTACTACAATCCCTTTGATCACTCCTCTGATTGCACTATGTTTGTTCATTACGAAACGGATCCCCAGCACCAAGAAAACAAGGGTTTTCCTTTGCTCACCTCTGCATCATTGGCATGTAGAACACTGCCTGGCATATAGGAGATGCTAAATGTCAACAAACACAATTTATTTGTTGAACGAAATAAAACAGTGATTGGGTAGCCAGGGAAGGCTTCACTCAGGACTTGATGTTTGAGCTAAGACATAAATCACAAGGATCATCCATGCAGATTTAGGAGCAGAGTCTTCAGGCAAAGGAAATAGTATAAATTCCTAAAGTGGAAACAAACTTACCTTATTAGAGAAACAGGAAGAAAGAATGGATGCAGTGTAGTGATGAGAGAGCACAACCATTTGGGTCTGAGTATAGAGTTTGCAATGCAAAGTAAGTGGAGAATTGTAAACAAAGGAGTAACGTGGTCTGATTCAGGATTTGTCTTCAGAGTAGAGGTGGCAAGGTTTACAGATAGATTGTTATGCAGGAAATGAAGGAAAAGAAGGACCCAAGAATGACTCTTACCTACATTTTTGAATTAAGTAGATGGATGGTGCCATTCACTGAAATGGTTAAGACTGACAAAGGAATGGGTTAGGACAGAAGAGTCAAACAAGGCAATCAGATGAGTAGGTGCGGTGCTCATCGGAGACGTCAGGGCAGGGGACGCTCACATACACGTATATGGGTACCCAATAACCAATGAAAAAATTACTAGAGCAATCACCCGTTCCTTCCTAAACAACAACCGAGAAGGGCGAGGGGTAAGACGACCGCCCGAGAGTAACCCGGCGGCACTAGGTTCCGGCTCTGGCGGGTCTTCCAGTCCCACGGACCGCAAGCGCGGCGCCGCCCCCCGCCCCCAGCCCGGCCCCACCCCGCGCGCCGGGCCAGGCCGATCGCTCCGCCCAGCTTTCCCCGACGAGGCAAAGGCCCGGAAGTGGGGGTAAAAAGAGCACTTACCCGCCAGTCCTGGTTCTTTCTTATACCTTTCTTCATCGAATCTGCTCCGCCTAGGAATCGTCACTGAGCACCGTCCCAAGAACCTCCACCAGCCCCCTCCCGGAGTTTACGAAGGAAGGTACACTGGAGACCTGCCCTCGCCCCGGAAGTCTTCGAGGCTGTTAGCGAAAGGGCCGCCGGGAAGACTCTGCGAGGCCCCAGGGAAGGTCTGAAGTTAAGGCGGGGATTCCAGGGTGTTTTGTGGACCGGCCGCCGCTAGGCTTGGCTTGCGGCCGGCGGCCTCAGGCTGGCTAAAAAGGCGGTGCTTTCCGCGTGGCCCCGGAAGGACTTAAAGCGAAAGGCGGGAGAAGGAAGCCGCCGAGAGGCGGAGGAAGCCCGAGGGGGCGGTTGCGTGTAGACCGGACGCCCTCGGCCTAGTGAGCTCCCAGACACCGGCTCTCTCGCACCTGAGCCCGTCAGGCCCACTCCGCAGCCTCTCCTGCCTGCGCTTCCGGGACCCGTCTCGAGCGAGTGCGCCTGCGCGCCGGACACTGCGCGCGCCTCCTTGCTGTCCTCGCACCAGCCGGCGGTCGGACAGTTCCTGCCGCTCTTCCCTCCCGGCTTCTCGTTTAGGCAGCGCTCCGGCGTGCGGCATGTCCCGGCGGCGGCACAGCGACGAGAATGACGGTGAGTGCCATCGGCCCTGCCGCCGAGGCCGCGCCCAGGCGGGAGCCGAGGTCCCGGGGGCTCGAGGGAAGGAATGGGAAGCCCTCCCCCACCCCACCCCGGGAGCGTTCGGGGAGCCACGGAGTGAAGGAGGGTGGCACAGCGGGAGTGTGGCCGGGCGACTTCTGGAAAGCCCTCGCTTCCCCCCACCCCAACTCCTTTAGTCGTCGGCCTGGTGGACCTCTCTAGTCTCTAAGGACTCTTCAGGATTTGGTCCTTAGAACCGTCCAGTAGGGAAGTATACCTGGGTCTGTGCGGCCGTCTCTTACGCACAGCGACAGGGACCACTAGTCTCAGTGGCTCGTTTTGACCCTCAAACTGCACCTGTAAAGGGCCCTCAGAAGGGAAAGAACAAAGCGGTGAGTGGAAGATCTGACGAATTGCAGTCTGAGCTCTGCTGTACCGGTCATGCGTTGGTCTGCCTTCTTTCAAACTGCAGGAAAAGAAATCTGTGTCTTATCCATACTCACGAGGTCACTAATAAACAGATGCACGTTGTCACGTTAGATTTTGAACTGACTGCAAGCGCAGCGCATTTCCCTCGTGAAAGAGGAGTACTGGAAAACACACTGGAGAGCTCTTCGAGGTGTAGATCAGGGGTTCTCTATTCCATTTGGATCGTTGCGCTCCTAGGGATCATGATATTGCCACCATAAAAACCAAGGATAATTTTGCTAGTTAAAAACAGGAAAAAGGTGCTTACCTTACAGAAATCAGCGGAGAACACACATCCACCAGGAAAGAAACTAAGTAATTCTGTTATATTATAGTGTAGCGCTATTTAAAAAGTGTGTGGTGTATTGGTTAAGAGGCCAAACCAGAGGATTTAAGTTCAAAGCTAGACCCTACCATTACTTCATGATCTTGCCCAGGTTTTATCGCCTCTGTAAACCTTAGTCTGTAATATAGAAGTATATTACATACCTCTTCTCAGTTTGTGAGGGTTAAATGAGGTAATACATGTGACATATCTCATGATGATATTTACTTATTTATCATCGGTTAATGCTTAAGAGGTGACAACCTTTGGCAGGTGTCAACGATGTAAGAAAAAATATGCAAGAAAAATTTTAATTTAATTAATTTTCTTCACTAACATTTTCCTCACCTTGAATCTTGGGGCCTTTAGGAATATGAGCAGAATCACATGTGTTTAGTTTTCATTTGAAAAAAAGTTTTTTAATGTGTTTTTTGTTTTTTGTTTTTTTTTTTGAAAGAGAGAGAACACGAGCGGGGGAGGGGCAGAGAGAGAATGAGACACAGAATCAGAAGCAGGCTCCAGGCTCCGAGCCATCAGTACAGAGCCTGACTTGGGGCTCAAACTCAGGAGCCTTGAGATCATGACCTGAGCCGAAGTCGGACGATTATTTGAGCCATCCAGACGCGCCTCATGTTTTGAGTTTTAACAACGAAACATCAGATTTCTGCTAGAGAATAGCTTGAGAGGATATTCTAATCCGGCCTTATCTGACACCTAAGGGTCCAGAGCTTTAGTATAATAAACACGGAGACACAGCCTGCAGTGGCTTGACACCAGTGAAAGCAAGTCCGGGGCTGTCATCAGGACACAGGTATTACTCCACTGCGTGCCTAGACTTTTTTGTCGTTGTTTAATACATGAGGCTTTTTGCATAACATACATACTGGGCACAGAAAATACAGCTTCCCTATGCTTGGAATTTGATTAATCAAAAACTAATGCTTGAAGTGATCGCTTGGGATTCAGGGAACTTTCAAGTCTTTTAAAGTTCTTCCCTCTTTCTTTGCTTTTCTCATACTTTCTTTTCTCCACTCTTCTCGCTTCTAGGGCACCTTAAAGGGAGAGAAAATGTTTCCAGAGGGCAACCTGGAGAATTGAATGTGAATATGTACAAAAACAACTTTTGCTTTTGTTATTGTGATGGTAGCATACTTTTCTTGGGAGTTAGTTTCTTTTAATACCAGATGGCCAGTAAATCATGGTCCGTTCGGGTCTTGATGCAGGAACCTTAGAATAAATAATAGAAAGAAGTGACATGAGTTA